GTCCTTGGCAGTCGTTGTTTATACCAGTGCCTCCACCCCTTGTGAGTGCTGATATACACCAAATAAAAGAGCTGAAAATCTGTTCATGGGTTTACATGGTATCCTCCTGAGTAGCTTGTGAGTCCTCCAGCAACCATAGTTCATGAGAAGCCAGTGGAGCCTATCTGTATCGGCTAGGAGTGTCAACAGAGATGGTTTGCAAACAGGAGTAGATGTTTGGCCCCCACTCCCTTCTATCATCCCATAGCAGGAAAGATACAAGCTTTATACATGGGATTGCCCATGGCTTTGGGAAAGTTATACTCCATGTCTGTAAAATAAATCCATGTGCTCTCTGGAACTGCTTATTTTGGTGTCTACTTAGGAGATGGCGTATTCTTGATAAGCACATCTCCATCCACAGTTATGTGACATCCAAACCTTCCCACAGTGCTATGGTTCTGGATCAGGGTTGGACATTGGGTCTGGCCTGAGAAATAACATGAATTTACTATGGATGATTCATCCATAGGGAAATTCTTTAGGCTCTTTGCTCTTTTTACAGCAGTCAGGTCTGAAAATTAGACATGATCTCTCCTAAAGCTTATTTTGACTCTCAGGAGGGCTGCAGTAGAATGACAAACAGCATGCTGCTTTGTTTATTGTTTCAGTTCAAGGACTATCTACAAAGAGTCACAGCCTTGTGCTCAGCATTACACAAAATTATTCATTTCCTAGCTATACAGAAAAGTGATTGAATTGCAGATGATTAACATATGTTATGTTTTCTTTTCTAATGCCTTCCCGTCTTTTTGTGGTACACCTTAGTAAATGGTATCAGAACACTGCTTTCAAGAGGCTGCCTCCCTCAGAAATGTGGCAGTGAATCTGATGAGAAACTTGTTTAAACATGTTTTAAAATGGCTCTTTGTGGTCCCTTTGCAAACACGTGTTTCTTCTTCCCAATACCCCCCACAGCAACTGTTATCTCCCATGCAGGAGTGTCCTGGGAAAGGTATCCTGAGGCGTCCCATTGGTCCTTTGTTTAACCCCTTCCTATTGGCTGTTGACCCTTTACCTGATGGTTTCTTTTGTGTGACCCTGAACTTGTGATTGGTTCCCCTTTGACCCTCCTAAAAGCCTTATAAACCCCTTCCCAACAATAAACTCTCTCTTGCCTCCTCTCCACGCCCGGTGTGCTGTCTCTGTGCCTGCCATGGAGCCACGTGGGTGCTGGGGGGAGGGGAGGGCACCTCTCCCCTCCAGGCTCGGGGCCTGAAAAACCCTGTTTCTGGAGTCCCCCTTCCCCGTCCCACAAGACGTCGGAAATGGTTCTTCAGACGGAGAAGGAACTAGAGCTGGGCTCCCCCACGTCGAGGATGGGGAAAGGGAAACCCATACAGAAACCCATTATCAAGGCTATTTCAGAAAAGTTGCTCTTCCTTGGTACATCTGGCAGACTGGGTCTAGAATCCACATAATTGCTGTAGCAACCTGACCTCTGCTAGTCAATGTATTCTAGCTCCTAGCTATATTCAAAGACTGTTTTTAAAGGAATCCTCTCCAAGGTAAATGCAGGCCTTTTCACTCTGAGCAGTTTTGCTAGGATAAAGAACCCCTTAACACTTTTCCTTTACAGATGCTTCAGTTTTTTATAATCAAATCTGGCTGCCACACTTGATCATGGTCAGCAGTATAGAGATTTTATCAGTCTCTATTTGGTATACAGGTACTGCTGCTGATTAGCACAGAGCTGAGATAGGTTGTGTACACCAAACTGTCATGTAAACTCCCAAATTATTCTTTGTCTGGCTTTGTCTGGCTTGTTTTAGAGACAAGTACAGTGGTGTTTTGTGTTCAGAGTTTTGTTCTGAGATTGAGGCAAAGACTGACTCAAGGCATTCAGTACTGCGGAATTTTAGGAATTTTCTGGTATTTTACAATGTTAATTGCCTAATCATCAGAACAGCAAATGTCATCTCGTATAAAAGAATAGATGATAGAGCCAGAAGGGACTGTTGTGATCATTTTTGTCTGACTTACTGCATCACACAGGCCAGAGGAATTTTTATAAGAACTGGAACAAGACTTCAAAGGCAACAAAAAATCTGATCTTGATTTAATCACCAGATACAGAGAATCAGCCAGAATGCTTGGTAAATTTTCCAGCAACTAATTGCTGCCATTGTTAAACAACTAATTGCACTGCACTTCATTTCTCTTCTGTCCCCTTTCAAATTGGGTCATTTGACCTTGTTGCACTCTTGTCTGATGACAAGCACTTTAATTACATTGTGTTCCCTGTCTTGGACCCTAAAAATTGTGATCAAGTTTCTTCCTTAACTTTCTTCTTGGGAAAGTAACCAGTAGACTCCTGAAGTCTCCTTTTCTTAGCTATTCGCAGATGTTCATCCAGTTCTGGGCTCCCCAGCACAAGAGAGAGATGGAGCTACTGGAGCAAGTCCAGCAAAGAGCCACCAAAATGAATAAGCTGCTGGAGCACTTTTCGTATGAGGAAAGGCTGAAAGAGCTGTTCTCTTCTCCAAGAAGAGAAGGCTTTGGGAAGAACTTATCAGTTAGTACAAATAGCTGAAGGGAGGGTGCAAAAAGGACAGAACCAGGCTCTTAGTGGTGTCCAGTGACAAGATGAGAGGCAAAGGGCACAATCAGAAACACAGGAGGCTCCCTCTGAACATTAGGAAACACATTTTTCCTGTGAAGCTAACTGAGCACCGGCACAGGTTGGCCAGAAAGGTGGTGGAGTCTCCTTCCTTGGGGATATTCAGAACCTATCTGAATGTGGTCCTGGGTAACTGGCTGTAGGTGGCCCTGCTTGAGTGGGGCAGGGGTTGGACCAGAAGAGTTCCAGAGGTCCCTTCCAGTCTCAACCCCTCTGTGATTCAGTGATTCAGAGTCTTTCTTACATGTCAGACAGCAAGATTTAGCTACAGTATTTTGGTAGAAGGTGCATCAGGGCTAAATACCAAATGCACAGTGAATACTACACCAGATATAGGAAATGAAGGCAAAGCTGAGCCACAGAGGAAGTCAGTGTCAGAGCCAGGATATGACCTGCTGCACTACTCCTTACTCTGTCCACACTGCATGTGCACAGGTCTTCATTTCTTAGAAAAGTAAGACCTACTCATTTCAAGGATTTTGGCTAGAGAATTTCAAAGTGTTTTGTCTATATATTCCAAGTGGGTGAGAATCTGAAGCAGAGAAAGATGGTGCAGCTTACATGACGTCACCCAGCAGCGCAGCCAAATACTTGGCTAAACAACTTGACTTTTTAAAACACCAGAAGCAAAGATTCATCCATTCCCCCTTGCTGCCATGCAGGAGCAGGCTTGCTGAATAGCAAACTCCATTTGCAGAAGTACTTTTGAGTTGAGTTGAAACCAAACTGGGTGTGGAGAATTTCCTCCAAACTCTAAGAACAGTGATGGTAAATAGGAGTAAAAGAACCTTAAAGGGATTTAGGGTTACCGAGGTACTTTTTTGTGCCTGTCAGTTTATTGTGCTGCAGGTCACTTTTTAGCTAGGTCAGTGGTTTGTGGCTATCTAGTCAGATGAGTGGCAAATTTTTGCTCTGAATGCAATGCTTCAACAAAGCTCCACAGATTTATGCTAATATAAACCTCTTGGAAATTGTGCTTTCTCGGCAGACCTAACAGAGGTTATGAACAGTACTTCTGAAATCAGCATTTAAATAACATTTCAAAACCACTAGAAACCTCATTATCCTGAATATATCACTTTAGTGGTCATACAAGTAGTGAAAACACTGTGAAACAAATGTGTGACTTGTAAATGGGAAAGAACAACAGTACTGCCTAAATACTTTGTTGCTAAACATCTAATTAACCACTAGGTACCTTTACAGATCAGTGCATTTGTTGAAACTTGGTAAGCTAAGAGCAATCCAGAGATAAATATCTGTCCTATTGTGTGGGGCTTTCTTTCTGAACTTCAACAGGTTCAGCCTTTAATAAAGCCTTTAACAATGCAAATAATGATGTCTTGCAGTAATCCAGGTTTATGTAGGAATGTAGAGCAAAATCTGTAACCGTCATTAAATGAAGTTGCGTTTTTTCATTTTTCCATTTTAATTCTGGAAATGTAACTCTCAGTCCCTACAAGACTGGAGTTTATGTTCTTAGGTACATGTGCATATGTGCCTTTCCCAAATCCCCCCTTACTGCAGGTATACCAATCTACTAGAAAAACTATTCTTATGCATGTTTTTAGTTACCATTTTCTGCCTATTCTTCATGAAAAAGCAGAAGTGTGAGAGGCTGTAGCCTGACCTGGGGCAGGAAAGGGACCTGTAACCTCTCTTCCTCATGAACCTTGGCTCTCCTGGTAAGGAGACATCTTGAACTCTATGGTAGGGATGTGGCTATGTCCCTGGAGGTCTCCACCATCATCTCCCTGTCTTCATCATGCAATGGCATTATACTAGTGCATCTGCCATCTATGAAACCCGTTCCTGGAAATAGGAACACACAGTGCTTCAGTGGAACTAATAATGCTCCTTAATGGTGTGCACCCCCATGTCTGCCAGGTACAGATGTTTGCTGGATGGCATTGTGCAGGTAACAATGTAGGTAGGGTGTAAAGCATGCCTTTTACAGTGCCCGTGAATAGAACAATGTGGTCCTTTAAACCAGTGGAGTTGTGGAGCTAAGGTGTGAAGTGGGCTGAAAATTGCACTGAGGTTGCTGAAGCTCAAGTACACTTTCTATTCTCCCAGTGTGTCTTGGGCAGACACCAAGGAGCTGGCAGGGATGATGGTTTTTGCAGTGCTCTTGGTCAGTGAAGTACTTTACCTCTGTACACATCACTGCCAGTGACGCAGGGCTCCTTGCCTGAGTGAAACCATGGCTGCCTCTGGGTGCTTTAGTGAGGTGTCTCCCACTTGTCCTCCTCACTTCTTTGAAAAGACATTTCCACATTTTTAATTGACATTTTCTGTGACATTTTCTTCTTTTTCAAGGTCAGCTGGTGACCTTTGACCTATCCCTTCCTACCTACCCCAGTGACTCTGTGGCATCAGGGAAAACAGATTCATTGAGAAGCCATTCTCTGAAGTGAGTGAGCTCCCACAGACTTGGTAAAAGTGTTTAGATCTTATTTATTACCATTTTTATTTCTTTACCCTCCCCCTGGGTGTTTTATTAATTCTTTGTTTTGCCTGTCTCATTTAGCAACATTTCTATAGGTTGCATTTTTTGGGGATTTTTTTTTTGGCCTTCTGTGTAAAGCAGTGTGATTCATATTGTATTTTTCTGCTCAGTGATCTCTCCTGGTTCCTCACCCCATGTTCTCCACTGATCACACCCATTGGTGATTAGATGCTCAGAGGAAGTGATTGCAGAGCCTTTGACACCTTGCATCCCCTGCTGCCTGGATTTCAAAGAAGTAATCATTCCCAGGGACCCACCACTGACCCTTTGCTCAAGCTTTTGTCATTCACCTTTTGCTGTCTCTTTTCTTAAAGAGCTTGAAGTATCTTGATTCTTCTGCTAGGGGAAAAAGGACACATGCACTGAAATAGTAATGACTTTACCATAATTTCAGAGTACTTTCCCCTGAAATGATATCAGATAGTACATCTGTATCACATCTCTAACACCTTTTGAAGTGAAATCTTCAGCTCCTATTCGGAACTTCAGCTCCCTTTTGTTCGCTCAAAGCCAAGGGGACTGTCAGTGAGATGGAGAGGTGGTTCAGTTCAATACCTGCCCTTTTTTAACTCCTTGTGCCCTGGCAGCAGCAAGTGGAGGGGCCTCATTGTCAGGCAATGTGACTCATTCCGAAACTTCAGCAGGATTTCAAAAGGACTTGAGTGCAGACAATGAAGCTGTTTACAGTGGTCTCTGTGAATAAATGAAACACAAAACTGAGAAGGACATCTGAGCCCTCAGCCAAACTGACTTGGAGATCAGGAGGAAACTTTTTTCCTGGGGCTTACTGTATGATTTCTTAAACTGAAATGTCTGACCATGGCCAAGTCTGCTCTTTGGAGTCAGTGTAGCAGTCTTTGTCATCTGAGTTACAGATAATATCTAGCGTCGTAAAGACTGACAAGATACTTTTACACATTTTGCACATTTTATTTGAATTCTTATGAACGATAAAAAGGCAGTTAAGACTAAATAAACATATTAGTGCTATTTAGATTATTTAAATGGCCATGCTTTCTCTAGAGAATTAAAACTGTACCTCAAAAATGCTAAAGGCTATATTAAATCAATTGCGAACACAGAGAAAATTGACTTTGAACAGTATAAAAATGAAAAGTCCTATGACTCCTCTCAAAGCCCCTTGATATGTCTTTAATGAATCCTTAGGAAAAAAAAAAAGAGCTGAAAATTTACTTCCAAAAGCATATTGTGCTTTTTTAATTTCATTTTTTCCTCAATAAATGATAAATTTGAAATATTTCCTTTGGATTTCTCTGTAAATAGATGAAGTAATGATGTTGTATTTATTTTTATTTTTAGACATCTCAGAGAAATGTAACTTCGGGATTATCTCAAATGCACTGGAAACATAAGTAGCAAAAGTCTTTCAGACGAAGAAACCTGCATGGAATATGTTAATATATGGTAAGCAAAACTTGGGTGCTGAGTCCTATGAAAAGTGTAAGAAAAGGAAATTCTGTTGCTTTGGTGACAACATGCATGCTTACATTTTAAATCTAATGCTGGCTGTACTATTTTTAATGAATTTAGACTCCTTTTGTCTTTTTTACTCCCCTCTTCTTCAAAATGTGGTATTCGTGCCTTCATTATTTGTAATTGTGCTGGGAATCATTTGTCTAAAAAATTGCAGCTGTTGGATTTGCTGTAATTCAAACACTGTCTGCTGGGATTTTTCTTCCTGATCACCTGAGTTATATGGTATTATTCCTTTTCTTTAGTTGAATGAAAAACTTAATAAACTGATGACTAACTAACTTAAGCTTCAGACAAATCCTCATGTTTGAGGTATAAATGTACATAGATCAGAAGAACAGATATGGGCAACTGTACAAGTGCAGTAGTCTTTGTGTCTGCTGAATAATATGGGAGTCAAAGTCAACTAATGCATTTATATGGACATGATTTTATGTAAAGACTCCTTTACCTACATAGAGAGTTTCTTGCAAAAGGCTTCTTGGCCTATTTGGGTCACTAATATTTTCATCAGATGTGTATATAGAGAGTTTTATACAGTTTGCACTGCTAGATAACCATATGTCTACTAATTAACTATATATTTCCTTACCTACCTTGTCTAGTTTATTTGGTTGTTTTGGGTTTTTTTATTATGTTTTGTTGTTGTGTGTTTTTATGCGTATTTGATTGTTTTTTAAAAAGGGATTTTTACGTACTCTAGAAATCCTCAGAAATTTAGAACACAGGAAGCCCAAGTTGTGTTGCTCAAAGCTCAGCCAAGGCCCTGCCTTGCAGGGAGATGAAGGATGTCTTGGCAGTCCCGTGGCCTTATCTGTATACTGGGTCTGACTGAGGCAAAGACTGAAAGTGGGTTGGTCAAGCTAGGATAAGGTTGTGCCCGGCCTTGGAAGAAACACTGCCATGAAATCTCTCTCTTGTAATATCTTGGCTTTATCAGTCCTTGTGAAAAATCAAATGGATTGTGTTCAAGTCTAATAATGGGCACGAAGGGCTGCTAATCTTATCTCGGTTCAGGTATCACAGAGGTTTAAGGATCCACCTTCTGTAAACCAGACAGCATTGTGCCTGGGGATTCTGCTGTAAGGTACCTCCTGCTGTAGGGGAAACTTATGGGAGAGTCACAGCCATGCTCACAGAGCTTCTGTAAACTCAGTTGCAGTTAAGAGGGAGATGAACTCAATGGTGGATTGGGCTATAGTCTAGCAATCTAGGTACCTAAACTCCCTACCTTTCTGCTATGAACACTGTGTGTATCTTTTTTATCAAATTGCTTAATCTTTCCAGGTGCAGATTGGGCGTATTAGTGATTATGTGCTTGTCAGGGATGCTGTGAAGAAGAGGCTCATCAAAAACCAGGTGAAGGCTTTGAGACAATGAGTGTGTGGAGATTGCACAGCTTGCAGCCAAGGAGCAATGGGATGTCGGAGAAAATGAAGGCTTTAATTCTGAGTCCTCTAATCATTGGGAAGTTGGTCTACAAATGAGAATAGCTTTTACTTCTTATGCAGTTCATGCCACTCTGAGGGTCACATCACCTGTCTTGACAGAAAAGGTGGAATTATGTATTTGGTTATGGGGAAAACCATGTAAGGTTTCACTCTTTTTTGGATTCACCAGTGTTTATTTACACACACCTAGTGTGCCATATTGTGCTTGCCTATAGAAGAGCCTTCATCAACTCACTGGTGTAGTGGTGTGGTGGTCTCAAGATACACCAGGATTTTATAACTAATGGTGCAATAAGTACTGAAATTGTGAACCTGGAGGTGTTTTCCAAGGGGCACAGGAACCTATAGGCTCTGGTCCTACAGTGCTAAGCTGGTAGACACAGAGCTGGGCCCACAGGACACCCTGGGAACTGCACAGTCTCCTCTATTACGCTGTGCCACAACCTGGGCAACACGGGTGTCTTGTTTGTTTGACACCTGGCCTCAGAGGAGGAGAAAGCCATGTGCATCTGTATGGAGCAGCAGCAAATTTTGGCACAAGAGCAGAGCAAAGACTCATATCCACACTTCTGAAGCCATAGAGGGGTGTTCTAATTGCTGTTTCTCATGTTATATACACAACATCTGATTTGTATTTGTTAAATATGTGGCACAGAAATGAAGAGGCAGAAGAACAGAAAGTAAATACTTGGAGGTGTTTCTCAGGGTTTTTGAAGACCTGTGAAGGGACTTGAAATATCATGCTTTTGTGCTTGCACACAGGCACAAATCATGGTGTTGCCTCAGGCTGAGCAGGAAGTGAGACCAGAGTTGTGTAAGCCTTATGAAAGGCAGATCTCTCAGCTGGAAGTCACTATTCACTGGGTGGTTCTGGGACAGGCACACAGTAATGCATTGAAATGTAAGATGGATTATATAATAATTTGAATTTGACAGAGTTCAGATGGAAATGGAGAGAAAATTAGAAAAATCATATAATCCTTTCCCCATACAAACTTTGACTTGAGGTAGATATGGTGGAGCCCTCTAGCCAACTTCAATTAATGGTTCCTGGACAGTCCCTCACTTCCAAATCGTCGTGTTGTAATAACTGTCTGCTATTTAAAGACACAGGAAGAATATTAAACTGCTTCTGTCTTTGAAGTTCACAGGCAGGGAATCATGGTTGCTAAAGACTATTAATTATCTCAGCAGTCAAACTATGCTAGGCAAAACTCCAGTATAAATGGCAGACAGCAAGTCTGATGTTATACTGCAAGATTTCCTCAGAATAATGTGTACAAAGCAAGAAAAAAACCTGTGTGCAAACTCTAATCTCATTGAAACAGCCTGCAGAAGTACATGTATAAATCAAGGGTTTAGCAGGAATGTGTTTTTCTGAAGAAAGTAAAGGCACTTCCCGTGTTTAATTAACAGAATGCTAATTGGGTAAATGAAGGAGAATTAAAAGGGAATCTCTGGGTGTCTGTAAGAGACTGGTGGTAAAGCTGTTAGAGCTGACTATTTGACCTGTGCAAGGAAATTGTAAGTCAAGAGCAAACCCTAAATTTGAGAGTTGTAATGAACACAAGCACGTTCAGAAAAATCTAGATTCCTGAGAATGAACGTGCTTGGAGAAAAAAACAAACAGATATTTTAGCTAAGAATATGTGAATGCTTTGTATGGACTGACTTCCTTGCACTGACTGCAGTTTCATACCCCATGACCCTATCAATAATATTCTTTTGTTTTTTTTGTTTTCTTTTTTTTCAATGTGAAAAACATTTAATGTGTTTGTATGCATCAGAGCTGAGAGCAGGGAGGAAAGGAAGTCAAAGAATAAGTTTTTGCTCACGGACAGTCACATTAGAAGATATTTGGGAAGGTCTTTATTCATAAGAAATGGGACCACGGATTTCACCATGGTTACCAAGAGCGTAATTTAAAAGCGTGCAGTCCTCGGGCACCACAGGTGGGAGTGTGATAAGTCTCTGAGTCCACAGCCTATGAAGAAGGAAAAAAAAAAATCTCTGAGTCCGTGTTCGTATTTGGCAGACTGCTGAGGAGGTACTGCTCTTTGCTGATTTGAACACAGTGTTAGGGCAGCAGTGAAAGCGCTTACACACCTTTCAGTGGCACCTGGCTCTCTGGGAGCCGTGCATGTGAGCTGCTTTGAGCAAGCCCCCCTTGGCACTGATAGCGCTGGGCTGATGGAGAGAGGTTTTGCAGACTGAGAAGTCTGTCCTGCAGTGCTCTATTGACAACCCTGAGTCAATGGCTATAAAGTTCAGAAGACCATGTCCCTTTCTGTGACTGTATACAGGTAAACTGCTTGAGGCAGTGAAAGCAGCAGCCAAGCAGAGAAAAACAGAGAAAAAGAGTCGGTGTTACAAGAGGTCTTCCAAAACACTTGCAAAGTTAAATAAACTGTAAATGTGCAAAACTCATTTAGGTTATAGCTGGAAACAAGGCTCTGTGAAGCATTTCATTCAGTCTCCTCTTTTATATGTACATTATTTTAATGACTGGAAAGAGGCAAACTGATGAACATGGAACATAAGGTCCTCTGGCTCTTTAGAAGAGGAAAACAAACCACGCATTGTAGCAGTTCTTCATCCTAAGATATTGACAGCAGACTTGAGGTGTGTTTGTAGTGGTGTTCTGTGTTTGATGTATACATATATGTATATAAGAACATATGTATCTTCTTTAAAAATACATTTTTCAAAATTAATTTCTCAGCCTATAATTTAGTTCTGGACTGCAGATATTTTATTTCTTGGTGTATGCCAGACACTTCTCTGGCATGCTCTAACTCAGTGAGCCTCCCACATCAGCTCTGGGAAACAGAGTGACTGAGCCAATGCCTCTGAAATTAATCGGTATTATTCCATCAGCCTAGGGTGACCCTGGCAGCAATATGTGTGTTGTGAAGGCCAGCAGGCAGAGAAATACTGGGCTGTAGCCCACGTTTACCCATCTGAGCTTCATTGCTTCAGTCCGTCCCAGGGCAAAATCAGGATGTATTGGATTTGTGTAATAATATATTGTTTCTTCTGCTACTACCAGTGACAGCATTTATTTTTTTCTTCCTGTGTCAAAGTCATGATTTGGACTAAAACTGTGCATATTGCTCAAGCTACAGTGAATGGTCAGAGCGGATTAATTGCATTGGCAACTAGTACATCTGATGAGTCTCAGGATCTTGGATTCATGCTTTGTTTTGTCCAAGACTGAAGTTGATGTTTAGCATATTATTGACCAAATTTTCCACGAAGTGACTTGAGATACATAGAAGCTTTGAGGACATAAATACATGCCTGGTTTTGCACAAGAAAATTAAACAGGGTATGAAAACTCATTGGTGCTTGTGAGAGACATTGTATTTTAAATTTGGATATGATTGAGTGGGTAGACTGTGCATTTGTGCATATTTTGAAAATTCACTTATATTTTATTCCAGAGCCTGTGATTTTAATTTTTTTTTCAGTAAAATTGACGAAGGAATCTAACTTTATGAGGTGCATTAGGGTTTGAGTTGATTGAGCTGGCATATCACTGTTTTCACTCCAGAGATTACTATGATTATCTTTAGTTGCAGAGGAAAAAATAATAGCCCCAAAACAACCAAAGTTAAATACAGTTGCATGTCTTTTGGATGTTGCATGGATATTTTAAGAAGGTATACAACCAGTAAGTTGTAATTGGTAAAATAACATCTAACTGAATCAGATACTATGCTTGGTTACTCTGTCCTGCCTCCTGCAGCTGGCAGATGTTGGTGGGGTGTTTGCACCTGCAGAGAGCTGTGTTTTCAAGGGCTGTGTGCCAGCATAGCATCTAAATGTCTCTTCAATAAGCTTGTCTTAGGATGAAAACCATCTAAGTTGGCCACAGCTGCACCCCAGCTGGCTCTGTTTGTGTCATACTCTGGCACAGCAAAGGTTTCCCCAAGTCCTGTGAACCATTGCAGAGTCACCCAAGATTTTTGGCAAGCACCAGACTGGAGCCAAAAGTAATAAGCCTGGCTGAGCATAAGCTGACTCCAAAGGAAGCTGGAGGGTTACTACTGCAATTTGATCCCAAATCATTTCCTTTTCTAGTTCAGCACTTACCAAATAGACACTTGAACTGGCTTTCCGTGGAGCAGCTCTAATCAGGCAAGGTTTTCTGAAATCTCTGCCATGCCTTCGGAGAGTCGGCTTGCTGTTTCCAGGGCTGGATCTGGTCCTCATAAACATCATATTAGGCATAGGTTAATGATCCCTGCTGGGCTTACACAGGTCAGTCTCTGCATGTATGGCATGGTCCACCCCCAAAGAGAGGTTAAAGGGAGGACTGCATTGGTATAGGTTCCCTTTACAGGGGGAAGTTGAGGTGTGGTGGTGCAGAGAAGGCAGTGTGACATTGGATAGAGGTACAGACCACAACACATTCAAGGGGCTTTCACCAGAGATTTCAGCATTGAGAGGAAGTGTTTTTGTTTTTTTACCATGTGCCATTTTCAAGCTTAATTTTCAAGCAGACCCCTTCCTCCCTGGTAAGTGTCCTTGGCTTAGTGAGCAGCAGAGGAAGAGCTCCAGAATTCTTGGTCCAGTGCTGCTGGCAGCAAAGCCCAGCAGTCGGACTCAACTGTGCACAATCCCAGTTGAGACTGTGGCTTTGCTGGTATCTATTTCCATGCAGCTTCACTGGATTACAGCTGATTCCAGTTTGTCTATATGTATTGAAATGATGGTTTTGACTGCAGCACAAGAGTACTGCTGTGTTAAGATCCACACAGGAAACCTGTCCTAGGACAGGGAACTTGAGCTCACTTGCATTCAAAGCATGTAACCCATCCTTTGTTGCTGCAATAAGTTTTATATACAAACATATATACATAATTATCTGAAACATGCATATAGAAACAGTCTCAAAGAAAAAAACCCCCTGTAATTCCATGAATAACAACACAGGGCATAAAATATTTTCTTTCTGAAATCTCATTCTGTTGCAGGAC